CACATTTTTAAAGGGTACTCATATGTATCCCTGGGGTTTGCCCTGCTTTTTGCAGGCCCACAATATATTTTGTCGTTCTTTTTGAGCCTCTAATAGCCTTAGGGAAGGAAGGATGTAATTTCCAACATCAAAACTAAAAGTGGTTGGCAATTACGTTTGTGTTATTATTTAAGGAAACGTATTATTATTAACTATTTGGGTAATGAAGATATTTTGAATAAGGAGCTTACCTATGTCTACCGCTTCGTTAGCCTATAGTCTGCTGAGCTAGCCTTAGATTCGCGAGTATGAAACGCAATTTATTATTTGCATCATGTAGTTGGAAATGCTTATTTATTTATTTATATATGCTTTATTGTACATATACATGCGTACAATGGGAGGTCTTATCACACAATGGTGATTTCTTCCAGACAACCTTTGGATGGAAATATTTGTAAGAAACCAGATAAGGTAGCTTAGTGTAGTTATTTACAGTAATGGAATCAAAGCCTGTTAATTATTAATGGGGTCAAACTCTTTCAGTTACCTACGTGGAAATAAGACTAATTACATGAACGTAAACATTTTTCACCCTATCTATTTGCAATCATTATTCATTAATAGAGAGTAATGTTTTAAAAGTCGCTCTCAACCGGCCCATCTGGTTAAGTCATTGGGGGAAACCTATGTTCAGCAGTAGACGACCTAAGGCTGATATGATCAGGCGGGAGCAGTCATTCGAAGATTTTCCCTCCTTAAAAAAAGCTGTTATGATGATGATGATGATGACGATGGATGCTCTAGCACTTAAAAGTGCTATTTGATATATAGTAAATCCCCAAAATATTGTTCATATCAAAGTAGTCTCTAAACAGTGGAAATACGGCCTATAATCGAGTTACTGGAGAGCTGTAACCGGTGACCGCTTGGAGATTGATCAGTAGTATTAATAGAAAGCTTATTAAAAAAAACCTAACTACTCAATTATAGACTTCTAACTAGATGAACAATCTTACTACCTCTTATGTACCTATAAATAAGGTTACAAATACTCACTAAAGCAATTACGAACAGACTGCCAGCTTTTATTTACTAATAATAATGTTATTTCCGACGTCTGATGACATAATTTTACGATTTGCATGTGTATTATACTCGTCTAGACTCAATCAATACGCAATGGTAGCTATTTTACGACGCTATGACAAATCTACTAGACTGATACGTCAACAGATGTCTGTACCTATATTGAATTTTGTAAAACGTGATTAGCTTTCGAAGTTGTCTGAATTGCTGACTGCCTCGTTGGCCGAGTGGTCGCAAGTACGACTGCTGGGCAAGGGGTCTCGGGTTCGATTCCCGGGTCAGGCAAAGTATTACTGGGTTTTTAAAAAAATCTCAGTAGTAGCACGGTGTCTGGTATTGTGTCCGGTATTTGGCAATAGGCTCACCCCCTATTACATGAGACTTATAACATAAATAGTGAAAAGTGGGTGTTGCTGTGTGCACCTCTGCCTACCCTGGGATAAAAGGCGTGATGTTATGGTATGTTATGTTGTCTGAATTGAAGGATGCGGGAACGTTTTTTATTAGATAGTAATTGGTGTCCTGTTAAACTTTTTGAGATTTACATTTATGGAACTTAGCATATAGAGGTATAAACGAATACCAACTGTTTTTTTCTGATAACTCATAAGTTGCCAATTTTCACTATAATTTATCTGGGGTCATCATTTTTTGGAGACTGTAACGAGGATTTTAATTTGATATTGAGCTTTATGTCATTGATCAAAATACTAAAATCATATTTCTATTGTTTCAGGTGATTCGCAATCGGTGTAAAGTAAACAAGTGCTTAGTGCTAATTAGTGTTTAAAGTAAACAAGTAAGTGTGCAGTGCAATAGGGATCGCGAAATAAGTTGCGGACTTTATAAAATGCTGTAGACGCGTGCGTTCGTTGGCATACGTGTGTTTTCGTTGGCGTCACCACGCGAACTGCGACAAAGCAACGATGGCTCGGCCTGAGGTTGTGCGATGAGCCGGCGGAAGAAGAGGGGATGGACGAGCCCAGCGCCGCTAAGCGGCCGTCAGTACTAACTATAGATAGGGCTGCCTTCCTACTCTTGAGGGTCAAAAGGGCGTTCAAGAAGAAGCGGCAGCAACGGAAAGAGAAACAGTGAGTATATTTGCATTTGATTTTAATCATATCATAATCCAAAGTTGGATTAAAACATAGTTTAAAAGCTACTTCAGTCATAACAGAATTAAAAGAGCTTCAAAAACAGATAATGAGGATGTTCCAAACAACATCTTAATTTGCAATTTAAAACCCTAACATTTCTGGCTAGATTTTACAAAGATAGAACTTTAAAAGCAAGACACGTACGTATATCGCGTAATGGTAAAGTTTGCGACAGTTTAGCTCATAAAATGTATTCCCTAGACGTTCAACTATTTCAGTAGTTAAATATGAAAAGGTGTCATGTAACCGAATTGTTCTTTTGGGAATAGGGTAACCATTTGTCAAGAAGATTTCCCTCAAAGTTTTATTCAAGTTTTGATATTCATAGAACTATTATAGTGGTTTATAAAGGGTTGTTTTGGTGAGGTCGGTATTATGCGTTGATTTGGTTCCGCAATTGTTATGCATGATGTCATTGTATCCATGAATGAAGGGGGCTAGGTCTTGAATCTTTCTCTTTTAGAGTACCCGGTGCGTCCATTTAGGTGTTGAGGGTGGCCACCGGGGTGGTTTTAGTGAAGTAAAAATCCCACACTTCCTAGTCTTTTATCAGTTATAGTCTATATAGTCTTCCTAGTTTTCCACAGTAATAAAACAAAATGTCTTGAAACTTACGGATTGTACCTTATAGCTTTAGGAGAAGGAATATTAATAGTAACAGCTTAATAACCGGCATATTGAAACGTTACTCAATCTTAAGTCGTGCTATGACAGAGAAGGCACGATGTCTAATCGTGTTATCTCTGTCAGTTTACAAAGAATTTGTACTGACAGAACTATACTTAAGCGCGACTTAAAATTGAGTATCGTTTCAGTATTCCAGCAATGGTGCCGTAGACCGTTGTAATGATGCTTTTGATTATATTGGGTTGCTTAATCGTATTATGTAGAAAGAGTTTTTCAATGAAAACTATCAACTTAAACTATTAGTGTTGTCACAAAGTGGTATCGGTTTTGGCTTGCAGCCAAACAGTTGGTTCATATTCTTTGCAACTTCATTAAAAAAGGAACTATAAGAGATAATGTGCAAAGAAGGTATTAAAAATGTTACCGTCACATCTGGTGGAAATTCAAATAACCAAAATGGGAACGTTGACCCAACTTCAATTATGTTGTTCCACAATGAAAGCTTCCAACGAAAAAAGGCCTAATTACCGCGACCCCAATCAGCCATCCTGACCTCTCATTACACATTACCTGAAGATAATTCCCTTTGCTGATACAAATGCAAATAGGGGTAGTTTACATTAAAGGCACGTACCACGATTACTGAGCCCACGATCTGCCTACGTAAATCGTGAATGCGCCGGTCATATTGACGAAGTAGTCGTACATTGCGCGTTTGCCATTTTGGTATTCTTTTTGCGGACGGGTGTGGCCAGCAATGAATAGAAAGCACTACGTAATTGTATGGATAAATAAATGTCAGAGCTACAGTTTTACTGTGATCCGGTCGTTGGGACCGGCTTGCTTCAACTTATTATTATCGTTCTTTTAGTACAATACCCACAGCTTACTGTTGGATATTGTGCCTATTACCATAATACTCATAACATAACATATTAAATGTATGTATTGGTGGCTAATTCTCGGAAAGGGGTTGCTTAAGTACCGACATTTCTACTTATTCGTTATTTAGCTGTAATTTTGTACCTACGTATAAAATCTTTATTATATGTAGATCTAAAACACCTGGTCTTTTGTTTTGGACTTATGTAATTTAGATTAAAAAATTAGATCAAGTATTTCGTCGTCGAAGGCCAACAAATAAAGTAACTATGAGAACATACCAGAAGATTATTTTATTGACAAAAGATACTTCAATTTGAGCATCAAAAGAAAGTTGTTACTTGAAACATTTTAGTATTCGTCCCTCTTTTCTCCAATTTCTTTTAAAGCAAGCGGAATCAAGATTTTTTTTTGAAAGAATTTCATAAGAGTTAGCAGATCTATTATTTGATCAGTCATGTACTATTCTGGTTCGATTAATTTATCTGATTTGATATTATTTAAACGTATAAAATACCCTTTTGTTTTCAATTTTCTGTTTTATTAATGTTTTTTCCATCAAGTTTGTTTAGAAAGAGCGACTTTTTAAAAATTAATATCCTTGTCTATTTAAAATCAAGCGTAAATTAATAATAATGTTTATGTTGTGTGCTAATTTTCAGTGGTCCATGTCTGGTGGCGAATAAATGATTTTTCTTTCTTCTTTCTTTCTTTCTTTCATGAAAAATATCTAGGTAAAGCCTTGATTTTGCTGAAGATTCTTTTATTCCTAATGGTATGGCATAAAACCCATAAGCGAAACCAGATCGTTAGAAACGCAATTGCTTAACTTAGAAAGTCACGATGTAGGCATAATTGATGAAAAATGAATATGTACCGATTTTCCGTGGAAACAGACATGTTGTGTTTTTTTGCCTCGTTAGTAGCATTTTATCTCTTCGTGAAAGCATGAGTCGCTGTTTCCATGTGAAAATTATCTCATCACGAACATGACGAAGCACGAAAGAGAACTACACCAATATTGATAGGTACTTAGTTTTAATTACAAGTAAATGATCTCATTGAAACTGGACTTTGACACGGAAGCCTATCTTGTCATCTAGGATGATATTGAATAAACATTATTGTGATGGAAATATTACTTCCTATTGATTTGTCATGATTTTATCAGATGTGTTCTCAATATCTTTAAATATTGAGATTCAAATTCAATAAGCTCATTGATATCTCGGTGAATATAGTCGGCAAAAAAATGGAAACAACAAATAAATTCTCGTTCTTTTTTATTTACTACATTCTCATTTACACTGTATTAGGCTTGTTAGCAGGCTCTATTATTATCTTCTCAGCGTCATCAGTTGGCTCCACTACCTTAGTAGTCATCTCTTGGGCGCTCAAGTCCTTCTTCACTGGTGGTGGTGGTGGTGGTGGTGTGAATAAGTCAATATTGTTCTCTAGTTTTTTATCACCAACCACTGTGATACCTTCCTTGGACACGGTCTCCTTCTTCTTAGGGAAGTTTGCCATATCGAAGGTATTTATAACATTAGACAAATCTTTCTTCTTAGGGAACAAGAAGATTTCAATTGCTTTAGTTTTCAGAGGAGGCAACATGGACTTGTTTGGGATTATACTGTCGAAAAGAAAGGGCATCATGGGTAAAGGATTTGAGGACCTTGACACTGGAACTGGTTTCATAGGCTTCTGGTTGGCAGGAAACTCTAAGATGACAGTTCCTTCTTGAGTTATATGCTCGTGAGATTCACAGCATAACGTAGAAGATAATGGATCTTTGTTGAACGAGAACAGATCGTTTTTCGAGAGAATTTTGTTAATAAGACCACTTGGATTAGTTAAGAAAGACTCTTTGGCGTTTCGCATGCTGGAGCAAGGACAGGGTTCCTCAATGAAGTATTCAGTTTTTGGGAGGATAGGTGCAGGGGCTGCCGGGGTCACTTGCCCGCGATCTGGCGTACGGTGAGACGGATCTGAAAGCAAATTATCACGTAAGCATATATCCATCTTATTCCGACTATTTAATAAATGACAAACATTTTCTTTTAGCCCCGATCAAATACTAAAATATGAATTGTAATCTTTTGAGTGTAATATATTTATATGATTTGTGCTCAGTTTTATCCTTATAATCTCACCGTTACCGTTGAAATAGAATGAGATATCCATTTTTCCGAGATTCACGAGGGAGCTGGTTATAGTGGGCATCGGTCGGATCGTCTCCCTCGAGGAGACGGCTGCCAGACACCCCACGAACACAGCCAACGCATGTGAGAACATTTTCTGCGAATAAATAAAATAGTTTCAGTCATGTTTTATGGTCATTGTATATTTATTGTCGGCAATAAAATATAGCTTCGTGAATAGATCCTGATTTGAGTAGCTATTTGATTTAATGACAAAACTATGATAATGAAAATTGATTTGAGTATCAAATAATGGCATGTTATTATTGGCTATCAGAAATTACCGAACATAAATCACTACGAATGTAAAATGAAAGTCGTCTTTGAGTAATATAATTTCTGTTACTCTACTTTGCCAGTTGGAACGCGAATAGTCTATTCATACTGCTTAATTGTTTGTACTCAACAACCATTTCCTTTTCCTATTAGCGTAAGCAAACGCCTTAATGGATTAGTTTCTAATTGCACAGGTATAAATACGACTCGCTTAGTCAATATCAATTATTTTTAGGTACTGACGAAAACTGGTATCGTGGCTAATTGAAATATAACTTTATTATTTGGATTGAATCGGTATAAAACCTTTTTGATATTACAAATGAGTAACACAGATACTCATGTGTGTATATTTGTTACTCATTATCGTTAAAACGACTGAAGGGGTCGGGATGAAATTACAAAATGAGGTAGATCATGGTCTTGAATAATATATAGACTATTTTTATCTGAATGCGGACAGAAGCGAGTATATTACAAAAAGCTTTTAATTAAAGCAATGACTGCACGGTTGGTGCGGTGGCTGGGCAACCGGCTGCCGTGCAGCGTGCCGCGGGTTCGATTCCCGCACGGAACAACACTTAGTGTGATCCGCAAATTGTTGTTTCGGGTCGGGGCGTCATGTTTATGTGAAATTGTATGTTTGTAAACGCACCCACGACACAGGAGAAAATCCTAGTGTGGGGCAATAAAAAAAAATGAATAGATTTAAGAAAAAAGCTCAGAATGAATGAATGAATAAATTATTGAAGATAAGCTTGCTTACCGTTGTACCACTCTGAGAGCAATAACGAATTGATTGAAATTCGCTTCAAATCAAATTCTTTTTGTTTTGCAACTTTTCAATTCGGTTTTATTGGTTTTCAATTTTATTGTTACGATTGAGAAATAGGAACTTGTTGTTGGCAAATTGTTGAATGGATCGAGATTATGAATGATGATACTAGATGTCTTGTGATGATATTGGGAATAGACATCTTTTGTGAATCTTTTAAACAGATACATGTTTTGTCTGTCTTTGTTGACTGAGTTTGAGATGTTTCGAGGACAACGATTTGCATGAGATTTTTGAGTATCGGTAGGACTTATCATTGAGTTCGTTAGTTTTCGAAATCTATATATATAAAAGAAAGTCGTGTTAGTTACACTATTTATAACTCAAGAACGCCTCAATCGATTTAGATGAAAATTGGCAGGGAGCTTAGAACCAGGAGACGGACATAGAATACTTTTTTTTACTTTTTACCGAAAATCACGAACGGGAACGGGGGCAAAATGGGATTGCGCGTACGAAGTCGCGGGCAGAAGCTAGTTTGATATTTTACCTAGTATATCTGTTCTTTTCGGCGTAAGAAGAGGATTTTGTCCAGCAGTGGGATAATTAACAGGCGGATATGACGTAACCTGTTTTGACATACCTATTTAACTTTTCTGGGAGGTGTACCATGCCATATCGAATACCATTAGATTGAGCCCTTTTATTCGAATATCTGTTCCATCAGTAACCTTGACAGTTCACTGCGGAACTATGGGCCTTGTCAACGTAAGAGGAAGTTATTATGTCCACTCTTGGCTGTCGGTTTGGAGAAAGAGTATCAGAGAGTACTGCTGGCTGCTATCTGTCAAATGAGATCCTTAGTCATCCCAATAGATACATGGGTAATTTGTGGTGATGACATAATTAATTAGAGGTATGTATTCTATTTAGCCATAACCTTGGCCACTGCCATCGCGGCTTTGCACTGTTATGGCTAGTCAAAAGATATTTTTCTATGATTATATTACAAGCAGACGATTTTATAAACTTTATGACATTTAATTGAACGTGAAAAATATGTAGTATGTAAGGACTAGAAGAAAAAAAAATTATTAAATAGATTTAAGGTCCCTTTGCTGTGTACTGTAATAGTTTAGGTTCAATCTAATACGTAACGGAAGTTAGTTGATGAAGTTTCCTGTGTTCTAGGTATAATAACATAAATTCTAGGAAACTACTAGTATTAGCCTTGTTTGTGCATAAATATATTACAATTATGGTTAATATTTAATATATAGCTTTATAAATGTCGTTGTAAATGAGTCTGAGGTTTGATTCACAAGAATATCTCCAAGTTAATTCTATACAATTCTATGGTTTTAGTTATTCGTATTTTAAGTTGTATATATTTATTCATACTTAATTCCATTGAAATAAATGCTTAAATAAAGTGGTTTCTTTATTTTATTTTGTAATGAATATAATTAGGGTATATTTCTCCTATTTTGTGGAATATGTTATATTACAAGATGTGATAAAATGGATGGTTTTTATAGACAACCAAAGGATTCATTCTAGTCCCTTTAACTACCGACAGAAAAATGTTCAAGGAAAATCTTCCGCTAGCTTCAAGTTACTAAAATTACAAGACTACAAATATATGTACAAAATCAAACAATTTTCCATTATTAATTTTTATTCGTTTCCTGTAGGTAAGGGAACTCTGTGGAAGGTATAATATGCCTACAAAGTGAAGTGTCGTTATGTTTATTCCTATTTTGATCGAAACGCATTTCGTACCGACGTATGCAAGCTATAAAATGCGCCTAAATTGTATTTATTTATAAACATCGATTTCTGAAACTGATCGTAAAGATTCGCACGTTTTGTGTTGCTAGACTTCTTAATTTACGTAAATTTTACGTAACTTTTGGTAAAAATTCTGTTTTTTTTCTTTAAAAAACGTTGCCCCACACTAGGACTTTCTCCTGTGTCGTGGGTGCGTTTACAAACATACAAGTTCACATACACATGACACCCAGACCCGAAACAACAATTTTTGGATCACACAAAGTGTTGTTCTGTGCGGGAATCGAACCCGCGACACGTTGCACGGCAGCCAGTTGCCCAGCCACCGCACCAACCTGCAGTCAAGTATGATATAATGAAGAGTTTCAATGATTGAGTGAGGTTATTTAAATTTTCAAAATTGTTAGAGGTATTAAAATTACAAAATTGGTTCCGAATGATTTTTAGATGCAGTGTAGTAAATATAGAACTATTCATTAAATAACATACGTGTACGTTTAATCAATAGTGCCAAATTGTAAAGAACATACCATGTTCCTACATGAACAAGAGACTTCATCAAATAAAAGAGAGTAAAAAAGACAACTTTACACATATCGACCGACCAAATCGCAGAGGATTTGAGCGTTCAACAAAGTTCTGTCGCAAAAAAAGCCAGTCTCGATTCGCGTGGCGAAATTTCCTTCTTTTTGCTGGCAACACCGATGCACTGGCGGACTTATTGGTTCGTTTCACGTCAACAGTAAAACGCGATGGCGAGAACACATTTGGCATTCACATTACTGGTATGTACCATGTAGCGTGTAGTATGTACTTTGTGTTGAACACATAGCGATTACCGATCACCGATTTTGTTTTACGCGTTTCGGTTCATGGAATTTTCGCCTTAGTCATCCATTAAATCGATTGAGTGTCCGACGAGATTTGTTTACGGGTTTGCTCCTTGACTATGAATGATGTTTTTTTGGCACATATTGTTTAGGCGTTTATCATTGAAGTGTATTCGATGCACTTACAGTTGTCTTTTAGGTTTAAGCAATTGGGTAGTTTCCAGGGTGACAAAATTAAAAATCTAATTAGTCCGTCAGTTAGATAATGAAAAAATATTAGACATTTATTTTTTTATTTTCTCGTATTAAGTTGCAATACTTAGAGTGGGAGGTCATTACGTCATAACGTGTTACAAAATGTGGCACTCTGTGACGTCACACGATATTTCAAATGAATATATCTTCGAAAGTATTTAATTTTGTGAGAAAAGAAAAAACACGTGTCTAAAGTTTTAAATTAATGACCAGACGGACATTAAAATAAAATTTAGGAAACTACCATAATGTCTCTCGTATTCGTTCTCCACATTAATTTGTTTCTAAACTTGGAACCATTTGAAATTGGTTTAAGTGATAATCTTTATAAGTTATTAAATAGATTAGAACTTCTTATGATTAGAATTTGTATCAAATATTAGTTTCTCATTGAATGAATTAGTTGCCATACTATATATCCCGACATTTCTGACCAATAGCTAACAAGGGAAACTGCGAGAAATAGGTACGGATATATATGTATATTGAATATTCCAATACACACATAGGAGTTGTTACAATATTACAGATATTTTTACATATGAATGTTAACAAAACATGAATGAATACGGTATTATATTGACGTAAGGACAACGAAGTTAATTCGAATATAAATAAAGTCAACATTATACCCATTTGGGACCGTTATGTTGTTCGACGTTAATAATTTACTTCGATTCAAAATGTCGACATTATGACTCATTTCGAGTTTTTATACCTACTATTGCTGTGTTTTCAAAATTTGTTTTTGGTATTGTATTGTTTGGATTAGTTAACATGGAATTGTTTATTTTGAAATGTTAAGCAGAATGAATGATTCACATACACACATTAACACAGCCTATAAGTGCCCACTGCTGAGCAAAGCCTCTTCTCACACGGAGAAGGTTTGAGCATTAATCACCACGCTTGCTCAATGCGGTTTGGCGAATATAATGAATGATTGTTCGGTATATACCTCTAGTAAGTCACTGATGATTATAATGTACCTATCTCTTCAAATATTCCAAATTGTAATAAATAATCTTAATGTAGTTTACGAATTATGTTTAGTTTCTAACATAAAAGTGTGAAGATGAGTAGGTACCCCAAAAAACTAAATAAGTACATCAAAATTTATTGAAGATTGTATGATAATAGGGTAGTTACCTAAATTTTATTTTAATGTCCGTCTGGTACATTAATTTAAAACTTTATACTCGTATTTTTCTTATACTTTGGACGATATTATAAATTGAAATATCGTGTGACGTCACAGCGTGCCACATTTTGAAGCACGTTATGACGTAATGACCTTCCACTCCTAAACTTAGCGCCATTTTATCTAAGTAGATATTAGAGAACATAAAAAAATACGTGTCTAATATTTTTTTATAACATAACTGACGGACTAATTAGATTTTTAATTTTGATACCCTGAAAACTACTCAATTTTTTACCTATAATTTTCCATAACTCAAGCTGTATATCACATGGGTTTTTCCCAATTTATAGCTTAGTTTGTGTAGTAATTTGTCGCGTGTTAGTCAAAGGAGTAATTTTATTGTCACTTCGGGTAAAGGATCAGTGGTTCTATGTGTATGTGTGGGTAATTACCTATGATGGATCACTTTATAATTATACCTTGGCGCGGTTTTGTTCGCCTTCAATTATAAGGTCTGGTTCAAGATGACCTTTTGTTTAGAGGTAATAAAAATTGAATTTTGTTAAATGGCAGGCTTGTTTCTGCGACATGGTTATTTTACTTTTCGCCTCTTTATTATTAAAATAAGACTGCCTCGTTGGCCGAGTGATCGCAAGTGCGACTGCCGGGCAAGGGGTCTCGGGTTCGATTCCCGGGTCGGGCAAGCATTACTGGGTTTTTAAAAAATTCTCAGTAGTAGCACGGAATCTGGAATTGTGCCCGGTATATGGCAATAGGCTCACCCCCTATTACATGGGACTCATTACATAAATAGTGAAAAGTGGGTGTTACATTGTAAAGTGGCATCATGTGCACCTCTGCCTACCCTTTCGAGGATAAAAGGCGTGATTTTATGTTATGTTATGTTATTATTAAAAGTAGACCAGTAGCTTCTTAAACTCATATCTCCATTTATCAAGCCCGTTGAAAAATTTATCCGCTTGGCGAATGACGACGAGATCAAGTAGTTATATATTTGATCACAATTAGATTATATGTATGCTGTACATGTGATAAG